CAAGAACATCCGGCTAAAGTTCAAAAACATCGAAACCATATTTACATTCATGAAGACGAATTCCTTTAATGATTTCATCTTCTTTCTTCTTCTTTCTTCTCTCATGATAAGTTGCAACCTAACGATTAAGCAAAACTTTATGACTATCATGATCAAGAGGATAACCAATCATATTTCCACATTCATCTCTTTTACCACAAGAAATGAGTGAATTTTCTTCAAAAAATACCCAGTTGTAACACAATTAATAAGTCCTTGAAAATTATATGGATATGGATTATCTCCATGAAATACAAACCATCTTTCACAAAATTCTTTTTTCATTTCAAATTGAAAAACGAATAAGATCACAAGAACTTGGATTTTTCTAGAGAGAGAAAGTGATTTTGAATGAAATTCTAGATAGAGAAAGCAAAAATCACATGAATTCTAGAGAGGGAAAATCGAATTTGAATCAAAATAAAAGAATTAGTTCGATTTCTAGAACCAAAAACTTTCTCAAAGAAAGAAAACTTACAACATGAAGTTTGATTAATGATTCACCAAATCAAAAATGTCATCATGAATCAATTTCTTGAAAACTTCAAGAACCCACTCTGATACCACATGTAAGATCCCAAGAATAATGACGAATGCAGAATAGTAATGATCAATGTGAATCAAACAATATAAAGAACATAAGAATTAAATAAAATGGTTTAAGCTCTCATTAGTCTAGAAAGTTATTACAAAGTGGGTCATGCAATATTTCTCTCACTAGACTAATCTCTCATGTTGTTACATAAATGGGAGCATATCACTCCTATTTATAGGAAAAGCTTAACCCATTACACATTCCTAAGAGGGTAAGCCTACATCACATCCAAGGAGAACTTTGAACCGTAACAACATGGTTATTGCATGCATCCAATAAACCATGATATACTTTTCAAAATCTCATTTTATATAAAATCACATTTTAACAGTGTTCTTTAATAAAACTCGGTTTTATAAAATTGACATGATGAAATTTTAAATTTAATAACTAGTATTATTTTTTACCGTTTTAGCATTTTAGAACATTTGTAAACCTTTAAAAAAAATCATTTTATAAAATAAGGTTTGGAGTTTTATAAGTTTCTAAAATCTAAATTTTAAACGTATATTAATTTTAATCTCGAAATGTTCTGTTAGCTAGTTTTTAAACAATAAAACTCATTTTATTTTAAAACTAATTTAACATCTTATGTTAAAAGGTAAATCCCATTAAAACAAAACACCTTGTGATGTTTATTTATGTTAAAATATTATTTATCATTTGAAAACAAATTTATGAACAATAACATAATAATAACAACATAAATTAAATAACACAAACATGCAAAAACATATGTACATAAACCAACCAAGTCTAGTGACATTTTTGTGAGTTATCACCAAAATGTCAAGTCCATTCCTAAAGGGACATTTAAGGGACCAAAAAACTTCTAGTGATGTTATTGTTGAAACTCTCACTTGAGAAAACATCAAATGGTTACAAAAATATTGAAAACTTCTTGAAGGGTATCATTTCAACAACATGAAACACTTTTAGAAAAGGCTGCCTTAGGACCTACACCTTATGAAATATGATGCAACACTTCCCAAAAACAACACTTTTAGCAACACTTTCAGAAAGGGTTGTACTTGAACCAACTATTAAAAAAATAGGAAAAACAACCGTTTTTGATCTTTAAAATTGGTTTCATCTTCATTTCTTGTTACATTTTTGTACAAAATAAATTATTTCTAATACTAATCTGTTACTTACAAAAATAAACAAAATGAAAAATGTCTATTTAATTATTACATATCGTACGAATAAGTAAATATTACAACCATTTTAAACAAATCAAAACATGCAACAACACAAGGGTCCATGGCTAGTTTATGCACGTTGTACACACACACACACACACACACACATATATATATATATATATATATATATATATATATATATATATATATATACATACTCAAAATTATATAAAACAACTCTTTGTTTTTCTAAAACAGCTTTTGTGAAAACAATGCATGTAAACTTTTGTGACCATAAAATAACAATTATAAAGTTGTTAAAGAAAATATGTATGAATTTTTTGCAAAGAGAAAACATCCATGTTTTCCAAAAGCAAAGACAATATCAACTTAACAAATAATCTAACTAAGTTTGCAAAAATAGTTTTGATACCAATTGTTGGGTTTTTATTCAAAAATAGTCTAAAATAAATAGTCAAAACTACGAGTTTAGCAACAAACATATTTTTTTTTTGAATAAACTAAATCTATTTTAACCCACCAAGGATCATTTTGCAAGAACTTAGAAAGATAAAAACAACCATAAAAAGTTAAGTGTTACAACCTTTGAAGACTTTGATTCTCATGGGAGATTGAAAGTTGATAAAGTGATGCATTAAGCTCTAAAATAAGAGCTCTCTAGAAGTATCATCCAAAGCAAGGTTAAACCACTAGTAGATGTTAGTCTTCACTTGTAATAAATGCTTTTCTTAAGCTTTAAGACATATTCCAAAATATGCTTAAAGAGAAGCAACATTTTGGAACCAAAAATGAGCTCCAAACGCAAGATATGGAGAGGGAATGAACCCATGAATTTTTCTTCCATTATGAGAGAAAAAGAGAAGAAGTTTTTTGAAAGAAAAACTAGCTTAGTATCTTGTCTAAAGCCTTTCTTAACTACATACAAGTGTATGAAAAAATCAAGAGAATAAAGTAGGAGGTAAGGCTTTGTTACAAGCATTGTATGTTGAATAAAGAAAGGAAAAAAGAAATCCATGCCTATTCCTTTATAAAATTCGGCCACATGTTTTAGGAGACAAAAGATGAAGTCTATTTTACTTTACCAACAACTAGTTATTTGGAGTGTAACCATTTGGTTACTCTAAGTGACCAAAAAATTGTACATAAATCTAATATTCATATTGTATGATATTAAGCTAGTTTTTGTTCTCTTTTATTATTCTTTACTAGAAATAATAATTCCCAATATATTGGTAAAGATATTGGTAAATATTATTTTCATAAAATAATATTTTTCCAATTGAATACAAGTGTTGATATATTTAATCATTTATTAAGAATAATATTATACTAATAAATAATCAATTAGCGGTAACTTTTGATAAGATGTGACCCTATAGGATCATATGTCATTACCAATATCATTCTATAATGACTCTTCGGCATACAAGATCTTTCAGAAACATCACATCATAATTTACTTAATCTAGCGGATTATCTCAGACAATATTTGTTATGCATTTATCTCGATTTGATGGTAATCTTATCGAGATTTAGTTTGTAAACTTTTTTAACCATCCTTTTACCAGGAAGAATTTTGCCGAATGTAACTGAAATCCCTCTAAGTATCTCATCAATAAGACCAACTACTGAGATCACAGTGAGTCACTCATTCATGTTGATTGGACAACAATGCTTGTACTTTCAGTGTAAGATTATCTGGTCCCATAAAAAGATTCCTACAAGACATGAGTGTATTATTTTTTATTCTCTGCACTATTACAGACCATGTCCCTAGAAGCATGCTTTCCATATATATATATATATATATATATATATATATATATATATATATATATCAAGTCTTATATTCTGCTGAAATATCAAGCATAACCCTATGGCTCATACTGATGGCATTGTCTATCAGTTGAGAGAAACTTTTTTGGTCCTATATGACAAAGGGTCTCATGTATCCTTTACCATATATATTAAAACCATAGACATGTTATGATACACCTTGCACTTGTTGTCCTTGATCCTTTTCTATTTTCACCATATACTAGGTGATGATATCAACTACCTAATTTTGTAGTCTATGATATATCTTCCTATTAAACCATTGGTAAGTGAAACAAATCATGAACTTGGTGACCTAAACCCTTTATATTATCACCATAGATTGGATATGTCACCACCCATCCTCTCTTGATTAAAAGATGTTCAACAAAGTGATATTTCACTGGTGGTTCACTTACAGTTTTTGCTGCAAAGTCATTCGCTACCTCAATCACTAATATCATCTCATGATCAACAATTACTTGTCAAGATGTCTTAATGGTTACTTTTTAAATCAGATAAGGACAATGATGATTAGTTTGGGGGTTACGAGAAGATTGGCTAGTTTTTCTGACACGTTCATCATCATACGTCAGCCAAATTCAAATGAATTACAATTACCTCCCATATATTGATCCATCCTTTCTCTTAAATAATCACTATTTTTATTATCCTCAAACCCTAAATCTCAAAGAAAATCCCAAATCACCGCTGCAAAACCCTAAGATCATCAATGGCCCTTTACACCTATGTTCCTACTCTAAATGTTCTCAAGGCTCCAAACTACTCCAAATCCTTCAATTGTGATCAAGGAAACAAAAGTATGGAGATCGTATCTCATTTCCACCAAATTCAAGACTAAAGACCTTGAAGCTTTCTTCCAATTTATGGAATCGTATCCACTTCAATATTCCTTCTCAACCTCCCCAGCTACATTTTATGCAAATCATATATGTGAGTTCTATTAATCCTATTCTTACGACTCAAGATCTGACTCTATTACTTTCACGATTGGAAACGGCAGCCATAAAATCCTGATCATTGTTGATATGGTTTTTGATGCACTTCGTCTTCCAAATTTACCCCCATTTTCTCCTCTTCCTACGAAAGAAAAATGTAAGTATATTCTTGCAAGGTTGGGTTATGATCTTACCCTCGAGGGAACAAGAGATGGTTATGAAAATGTTCTCACACAATGTCTTCCTCCCAGATGGAAATTTTAGTAGGGTCATTGGAAAATTCTTAGGGCATAAACTGGAAGTCTTGATCAACTGAACGTGTTCGAACTACATATTCTTTATGTTATAGTAAAAAACAAGCATGTTGATTTTTCAAGATTGATATTCGATTTATTCATCTCACTGATCACTGGGAAGAAACGTCCCATGTTTATAACTTATCCAAGACTAATTGGACTACTTCTTGAATTCATAAACTTAGAGTACACCAATACAAGTTCTTTTCAAATTTTAGTTCTTGTTTTCTCTTCCAAGATTATCAAAATTACCCCTGATCCAAGACATCCATCTATTACTCAATGGAAGGTTGAGTGCATTAATCAACTATATGCTACAGAGCCAAGAACTTATAACCCATTTATGGAACAACAGGTCAATGAAATTTCAGATGAAGAACTTACTGAGCTTGAAAGTGAGGATCCAGATGATGATGTTGAGAATAACATTAAGGAAGAAGTTCATGGAGATGAAAATTATGAAGACCCTGACAATGATATTGTTGGGTATACTATCGAATCTTTACCCTCATCTGACTCTCTTATTATTACAATGTGTACTTTTCAAGCTGCATCACATGTGTCTCCTCCACGTCTCAACAAGTACATATACTTCAAGTTTTCACCATCCTCCCATGGTGCATAGGTTAATCCTCCATCCCCTGGTTCTGAAAAAGTTGAAGGTATGCATGTTGATGTTGGTTCCCCTGATAAAGCTACACATTTTCATAATTCTCTACCTCTAGTTCAACCTAATCAAACCTCATTCACTCCTTCTCTAAACCTTAACAACAAGATCCTCACATTTCTTAACACTTTGATTGGGTTATCTCAACCCTTTCTGGGTCGATTGGCTCGTCTTGAGGATGACGTTGCTGAAATCAAACAGGTTGTGTTACCCCCTGATACTTATGCCTTACCTCAACCACCTGCTCCTAACTATACTCCGCCACCTCCACCACCTCCTCCCATATATCCTCCACCTCATCCTTCCTTAAATACACCCCATCCACTTCCTCAAAACACCACTGATACTCCCACTAGGTCTACTGATGATCCCATAAAGGGGGAGAATGAATCTAAGGATTCTTCTTCTGAGGAACAATTTGGTTATGTCTCTACTAGAACTGAAGTTGTTAAAAATTCTGAAGATGAGGATGAAGAGAGTGATGATTATGACAACAATAACAGCGGGGAAGGGTTGTGATGTTTCCATATTTATACACATATCTAGGAATTATTTTAATACATTTAGCTATATTTTGGTATAATGCAAACATAGTTGCTACTTATTAAGTTAAATTGTATTTTGCTGTCCAAAAGGACATTTTCGAGGAAAAGGGACTATAATCGACAAAAAATGGATACTTGGAGGACTGGAGCTAAAACTAAGAGCTTAAGGAAGAAGAAATCGAGCATTTTACACTTCCCACGACGTGGACAATAACATGTCACGACGAGGCATTCAGAAGATTCTCGATCTGTGCATGAAGATGATTCTCACGATATGACCATCTCTTGGTCACGACGTGACCATTTCTTGGTCACGACATGACCACGTGTCCTTAGAAGATTCCTATACGGTGAAGTACAGTTTCCTTGGCGCATACAGGATAATCACCATATTCACGTCCTGACACCCTTATGGTTACGACGTGAAGACCGATTTAATGGAAACTATAAATACCAAACATTATATCGACTTTGAGAGATCTAGAGGAATTCTGGACAGAAACATGCGATTAAGAAGCCAAAAATAACCTTCTAAGAACCCTTGTAAGGAAGGAGAAGATTGGAAATCAAGATAATGAACCAAGGAATTCGCATCATTCATTCGGTTTGCATTGATCTAATCATGTCTAGCCTAGTTATCCATGTGATTATGTGTTTCTTTTCTGCAATTATGAGCTAAATCATTAGACTTTCGATTAGTAATGATGAACCCTAATACTATGTGTTAGTTTCTAATTTTCATGGATTTATGAAGTTGGTTTAGCTTGTGTTTGATATATCAAAGCCTAGTATGTTAACAATTTCTATCTTTGTTGCTTACATCTTCAAGTTTTTTATAGTTGAATGATCACTTTAATTGTATGAACTTGTTTACCTAGTTATTTATGAATCTTAAATTGCTAGAGCTAGTGATTGACCAAATCGTAGAATAGTTCATAAAGATAGTTACTTTAACTATGCTAGATAACATAATTGGATCATAATTGTGTTTTGGTTATTTGTCTAGATCATAGATAATTAATCTTAGATTTATCATATATATCCCAATAACATTAATAATAAATTTAGTGTCCACTTGTGTAAGGCCACTGCATAATAGTTCATAAATTGGTGAAAACATTAGGTGATTGGATCAAGACTTCTAATAACATTTATATTGGTAACCAACTGAAATTAATCAATGTCTTGAAACTAACCATAGGAAAAAAGGTGGTTCAAAGCTAAATGGAAGTGTCTTAATTATCTTGATTTACATTCATATTAGTTATTTGCTTGCTTAAGTTTTTAGCTATTTGAGTTTTAAGTTAATTTGAACTTGCAAAATCAGATAAAACCCCCAATTTTAGGTTTTTTTCTTAGATAAATTTTAGTAGTTATTTTTAAGCTAAATAACGTTCCCTGTGAACAACACCCGACTTATTTTTCTATACTATAATCTGACTAGGTACACTACCTATACACATTAGTTAGTTAAGTTTTGTTAGGTTATAAATTTAAAATCGACATGTATATCTGTGCACATCAAGCTTTCGGCAACGTTGCTGCGGAACAACTTATTTCAGTTTTTAATTTACGTTTAGGTAATCGATTCCTTTTGTGGGGTAAAAACCACAAAAAGTTACTTTTCTGCATTAATTTAGTTTTCTGTTTTCTCCGTATTCACGACTTGACAGCCTATCTGTCACGACATGAAAACTGAGTTTTTAAGTTTTTAGTTCGTTTTTATGGTTTTCTTTGGTTTTTTTCAATAATATAAGACCATAAGATAAAATTTTCCTATCGTTCCACCATTTGAAAATTCCAAATCTGCGTTCCACGAGAAGAAAGATAAAAAGGTTGATGAGTCAAGTAGCACCTTTCAATCAGACAAATTCGAAAGTTTTGAGGAGACCCCGAACAAGAAAGAAATCGGGTACGAACCTGAAACAACGAGTGACTCAGAATAAGAAGTTAAAAGTGAACATGAAAACACAATGGAAGACATCACAACAATGACGATGGAGGACTAAAAAATACAGATGTGTAATGATGATGCGTAGGATCTCGTTCCACCAGAAATTCCCGTCGCGACGAAATTTGTGCTCAAGGGACATATCCTTTCAATGCTCAAGGATATTCCATTTTCTGGGAAAGACCACAAAGACACCTTTAGACATATTGATGAGGTGTTGGACATTTCAAACTACTTTAATGTTCCAAATGTTTCATGAGATGCGGTTCGACGAAGGATGTTTCCAGTGACATTTAAAGGAGTTGTTAAGGTTTGGTTAAAGTCACTTGCACCTAGAACGATCACAACCTGGACCAACCTTCGTGATGCATTCATTTAGCAACTCAAACCTCCCTCAAAGATAACCAAACTCAAGAAGAAAATAGCAGACTTCCAACAAAATGATGGTGAATCTTTATATGAAGCTTGGGAGAGATTTAAGGGAATGCTATGGAATTTCCCTCAACACGACCTTAATGTAACATTCAGATCATGGAGGTACTTAATTTCTAACCTTTTGTAAGAGGTTCACGACGTGAGATATGGTGGTCACGTCGTGAGTGACCATTGACTTGTTGACCCACGTTTTCGAATCTCACGATGTGAGGTATGAAGCCTCACAACGTAAGAACGACCTGGTGATCCAACACCCTATTGTTTGAGTATTTGATGGAATGATAGGACTATAGTTGCCCATCCTTAGCCCCCCCCCCCTCACTCGCTAGCCTCCTAAAAACCATAATCTCAACCTACTTGAGGTCCTTTACCTCTTCCATGCTAGATCTAGGTTCTAAGATCCTTTTTACATGGTTGAGTTGGATAGCATGCTTGAGATTCATAAAGTTGGAAACTTTATGGATCATTGAGACAACTTTGGTATTATAAGATTTGGATCTGAGTTTTGGAGTTGGTTTTAGGCTCCAAGCATGAGTCTTGACCTTATTTTCCCTCTTATGACCTAGTGAGTGTTTGAGTCATGCATTGGACATGCATGCCTAAAAAGCTACAATTTTTATTATCCTTTGGGTGAGGGAAGACCCTCTGGAAAGTCCCAGGGTAGTGGCTAAAAATAATAGCTTGATGGTTTGTATCGATCGGATACACTTCAAGTATTAAGAACAAACGTAAACCAATCTAAGAAAAATAAAGAACATAAAGTAAATAACACAATGAGTTCTCCAAATTGGTCCTTCACCAAGAAATGGTTTTGACTTCACCAAGAATACGGGTTGTCACAAAGACGATTGACACAAAGCCGAACTCACAACATTAGGGTTTACCCTAATGTCGTATATATACTAATCTATACAAGTATATCCCTTGATTGAAGGGATTGCGTCTAATCTATACTAAGAACCGATCTTATCACAAAGATACCGGATCTATGATCTATTCTATACTTATCTATATCATTACCTAATATATAAAAGAGTACATAGTATAACTACACTACGCGCTGGTGTTGATAAGCTTGATACGATGGCGTTGTCGATGTTGTTGAGTACATGCTGACGCTGATGGATGTGTAGAGTGTTTGACTCATCAGATCATAAGGTGTGACCTTAAAATCTCCACCTATATGATGATGTCAAAACTAACCTTCAATGAATTCTTCAGTTCATGCTCCCCCTGAGAATAAGAATGAAGTTGTACTATATTGTTTTAACTATTCAGTTTTAATGAATGCTCCTCCTGAGAAGATGAATGACTTATCAAGCAATTGAGGCAGTATTTATGAAGGTGATGAACTAATGTGGATCAGCTTGAATCCACTAGCTGAGAATGTTGATATTAGCTTGACTCGACTCCTCCTTTGATTGTGCTTTTCTGTATAGATTCCGTTGATATTAGCTTGACTCGACTCCCCCCTTTGATTGTGATTTTCTGTATAGATTATCTCCCCTTTTTTGACATCAACAGTAAACATAGGAATACAATTGTTGTAGCTTGTAGTTTAGTAAGATTGTGATGCTCTTGATAGTATTGTTTTAAACTATCATTCACTAACAAGTATTGCGAGATCTCATTAGCATGTGGTTTCATACGCCGACTCATTAATCACTTTTATTAGAAGAAAAAAGGGAAAGAGTGGTATGATGTGTGATAAGTTGTGGTGTTTTAGCTTAACCATCGACATAGATTTATTAAGATATCATCATCGTATGGGAAATTACGCCGAATCATAAAACTTTAAGGAATAATATAAGGGAAAGAAATGATTGGTGCGTGTGATAGTTTATGGTACATAGACTAACCACCAACACAGAGTTTCAAACTTTTATCAGTGTAGGGTATAAAACAGTGAATCATTAAGTTTTATTAAGAAGATAAAGGAAATAATGGTTTGTTTCAGTCACGTTGAGGTGAAATCGGCATGAATCATAAACTATTTAACTCGTCAATAAGAAGTGGTTTAAACTTCCGTATCATAGAGTAAGTTGCATTCTAGAATCAATGATTCACCATTAACTCATAATGGTACCATGCCATACCTCAGACTAGGAGGTCAGGGATATGAAAAACCCTTTTTCATTTAAAGACCAAACAAGTAACTCTTACGCTGATGACTATGCAATCAGGGTAAGCCATTGGGTTATGCTCGATGTTTCAGCAAAACATGAGACTTGATGCATACGACAAGCATGCTTTCAGGGATAATGATGTGTCAAAAGTTGCATACTAGACTTAGAATTGCCATCGTCAGATTCCCTTTTTAAAAAGGTATAAAATAATAAACAATATGAGAATACAAACAAAAGAGTTAATCAAACAAGAAAATAGTTTAAACAACAAAATATATGAAATATTTTTTCAGAAGGGTGATAAAGACTTGATCGATCAAATCTTTGGAATTGAATGGTCATAAATATACTTCCATTTTACGAGATATCTACCCCTTGAATTTTGACTATAAATGAGAGAACAAGTAAAGATAAACTCATTAGTACACAAAACATCTCATTATAAATCAAGAGTGATGAGGC